TTGAAAATCTGGCTTTTGGTAGTGTCGGATTGTATGCAGAAAAAAGTGAACGCTTACACGCCGCAATCTATGTGTGGGACCCAAAGCAGCGGTGTATAGGTATCTATCCATAGCATTGCCAGCTGTTCTGGATCTCCAATAGCTGCTATCTGGCCGTATTCGTAACCATCCGTACGCAGCTGAAGCATTTTGTATTTTTAGAATGTAAGCCAATTTGGGAAAGGGTAAAACTTTGCTCACTGGCATGCGAAATCCTTGACTGTTCGCCTCTTTAACATACTCAGCATATGTACCTTTTCTGATCATCTCCAACTGTAGAGAAATTGTTTTGACAATAATTTTTGCTTGAAGTGAATAGGCTTTACCATTTTTGATTCTTTTCGGATCAGTGTAGTTTGAAACGCGATGCATGTGGGAACGACAACTTGGAAAAGAATGAGAAAGTATCGCATCCTGAAATTAATTAACAACTTCATCACATCGAAAAAAATTCCACTTCATTACTCAATCAGATGGGTAGAAAATGAGAAAATGTCGAAACAACGTTCTGAGGTGAACGAAAAATATAGATTTGTGCAAGGAGTGGGCTACTTTATCTTCAACATTTTGTCCTTTGCTCATAATACCGATTAGGGTCTTTTTCTAACGTCATCAAAAAGGAATTGCTGTTATCAGTGGGAAACTTTTAACTCGGATGATTAACCCGCATGATTAATTACGGCTTAGTAAAAACATCGCGTCAGAATGTGTATTTTTTGCTGGTCACTCTGAGATCTTCTAGATAGATCTTCTATGGCATCTTGTAAAATGATTCTCTAACGAGTCTCTGCTCTCATAAGAAGACGAATAGAAGGCCCACTGCGGTAAAGCGTCTACATAAGTTGAAAGTTTTAACCCAAAGTTCGAGCATATAGGCCTTACCTCAAAACAAGACAAAAGCAAAAAAGTTTCTTATTTGCAAAGAGTTTTTGCTAATAAATATGTCATGGTGAGCGGTTATTTTAGAGAAAGCACCTGTAGTAAGTCATGCAGATTAGAAATATGCATTGCGAACCACAGATTACTAAAATACATCTTATTTTTATTAAAACCATACTACTTTCATGACCTGCACCTTTCAATTACTGTTACAAGTGAATAAATAATGGCACCAACAAAACAAAAGCTACGCAATGGATACAAA